CTAGTCATCATTCCTTGATGAATAATACAATTGCCTGGTCTTTCCTTTAGCATTTGCACTGCTTGTATGTGTAGTATCCTGACTAGAGTCACTGTGATCTGAATCATCACTTTCACTATCCTGTAGAGTGAATTGATCGTTTCCTGAATTATCAGAACTGTCTGTATACAAATAATCACTCTGAGAATCATTGTTGTGTCCTTACATATTGAAATGTTGTCTGGAATCTATGTGCCATTTGATTCCTATGGATTCATTTGCTTTCTTAATGCTCTCAAGCCTATCCTTGAAGATTGAGTAATCTACTGTGTCTGGATTCAAGCAATCTAATTGTAATTGCCTCTGGTACTTGGAATTCAATCCATACTATGCCTGTCTAGTCAAATCTCACTGAGAAATGTCACCTAGATTCATAGCTTTCATCTCTAGATTGTACAAATAATCCTGAATGTTCCTATTGCCTTGTTTCAAAGTATTGAACTCTTTTCACAGTATTTCAGCAAAGTTGGAAGGGAAACAAAAGTCTATAAGTCCTCTAAAGAATTGAGCAAGTGTCCATCTATACTTGTGGTTCACAATCTTTTGCAAATAGAAATTCATTGCTTTTCCCTTAATAAAACCTGGCATTATCCCTACTTGGCTCTTAGGGAAATGATGAAGTCCTGATTGTTTCATGTACTGATTGACTTCAATAACAAACTTCGTATACTTCTGCAAGTCTGGTTCACCTGAGTATACTGTAGGAGCTATTGGTTCTGTACTACACATCTGTATCTTCAATTTGAGGAGTTCTTTGTTCTGTTTCTTCCTCAAGTGTTTCTTACACTTCTTAGTAGCCTCTGTATCACTCAAATCAATGTCTGACAGTTTGAATAAAGCATTACTTTGATTGTTGTCATTGGATGAAGAGGAATCCGAATTATCACTGTCTGGGTCTGATCCTGGGTCAAGATTTCCCTTTCTCTGTATCCTAGAGCTCTGTATCACTCTGTATACATAGCTATTCTTTGCTAGGCTCTCTAAAGGTCTTACTGATGCACATCTACCTTTCTGAACATTATTCAGTGCTTCACTATGCCTGTGTCCATTGTTTGTTCTTGAACTACTGCTTGAGCTATTCTTATGCTTGCTACACTCAATATGTAGCTTTGAACTGTGTAGTTTGCTACACTCTGAATCAACTTTGTTCTCACTAATACCACTAGTGTATGCCTTGCCTGGGACTGCTTTCAATTGTGAAGTATTGCTATGGGATTGTTTGTTCCTTTTATTTTTGTAAGGGGTACTCTAATGTCCTGAAAAACTTAATGTTTCCATTTGAGACTGTATATATCCAGGTATTTCACTTTCTCTCTTATTCCTGGACCTGGCTAGGGTGTTTTATCTATTGTAGTAGTCCTGTACATTGCTCCTGTGCAATGTGTAGTCAATATCTACTATGTATGAGGTTAAACACTCAATTTTGTGGGTGTATGCTTGATTTTCACCCTCTGAATCAAGTACTAATCCTTGTAGTTCCAATTTGCATTCACTTTTGCTATCCTCAAAGTACTGTTCTGTCAATACAATGTCTGTTTCGCTTGGATAGTCTGAATTGATTTCACAATCGTATTGAATGCCTGGCAGTTCTGGTTTTCGTTCTGTTCCTTGTGCTTTGTGTTTTCCTTTCACTTTGCACTTTCCTTTTACTTTCTACAAATGTAATAGTTTGTCTGGACTCTTGAGTGTTTCTTCTACACTCTTAGATTGATAGTTCTGATCCCTATTGTCTGTAGGTACAGTAGCATGTCTGGCTTTTGTTCTGTAGCCTGCCTGAAGCGTTTCACACTTTTCTGTTACTATACTATCAAGTCTGCTCTTGTTTGATGAAGGAGTTGCTTTCTCCTCTTCCTAGTACATTCCATCAAACTTGTACATTCTCTTATTCAAATCATTGATGTCTATCAAACTGTGGAATGGGCTGACATGTCCTATGTCTATCTTAATCACTCTAGCTCTTGTAATGTGTCTGAAGGTCTTACTTGCCTTCTGGAAATCTTGTTCCTCATCAAATCTCTGTGGTTTTAATGCCTGGCTCTCCTGGCCTTGTCTATTACTCTTGTTCTTCAAGTCCTGGCTACTTTCTTCACTGCCTAAAAGGGTCTTAGGTGTCTCATTACCCTCTACATTACTGTTGTTGATGTGTTTCCGTTCTGAAGTAAGTGTGCTCACTGGATACTCATCCATGCTCTCACTGATACTGACTATATACACTATGTACTCCTTGTATTGGCTTGCAAATTCCTTGATGCTTGCTGTTAGCTCTCTATATTGACTTGGTGAATCCTCAAACCAAATTGCCTGTTCTCTATTGAGTGAATCCTCAAACTCAGTAGCCTGAAATTGATAGAGCAAATCCTCAAGCTCAATTGCCTGTACTCAGTGAGTTGAATCCTCAAACTCAACCTTCTGTACTCAATTGGACAAATCCTCAAATCTAATTGCCTGAGTGTTTCTGCTCTCTGTACTGCTATTTACTATTCCTGTAAGCCTAGTAGTGTGAGTACTCACTGGTTTCTGCTCTACAGTATGCATTTGTCTAACTATATGTACTGGTACAGTTACATGCCTTAATTCTATGTTAATAGTATGTACTAGTTCATCAGGGTGCCTCCAGCCTTGTGTAGACAAGGACTTATCACCTGGTATAGGTTTATTGGGTTGCCTCCAGCCTACAAGGGACAAGGACTTACTTCCTAGCATGTTAGTATTAATATCCAGACTTGGGTACCCTCTGGGAATTGTCTGTCAAGGCTTGGCAGCCACATTGTAATCAATATTCAATGGATAATCTTGTTGTCCATTGCCTGTAAACTCAATGCACACCTGTTTGTTCCTTTTTGCCTTCACAGATGCCTGTTCCTCAACCCATCCAATCGATGCAAACCTCTAGCATATTTAGCACTGGTCCATATCAATATGTGTTAATGTGTTCTAGAAGCATTCTGCAGCATTCTGAAGCATTGTGAACCTACTAGGGGCCAATCCAGTAAGTAGTCTCTGTTTCTACTTGAAAATTGTAACTTTACTCACTAAAAATTCCTGAGGGGTACTAGATGATGAGGGAGACCTAGGGTTGATCAGACCCTTTAGTTCCTCAGCATCCAGCAAGAGGTTTCAGTGCTAGGTGGGTACAGTCAAAAATATGTAAGGAAACTCACTGTTCCTCACAAGAGAATTCTAATCACCCTTAGTTCACTCAACTACTGACTGGGATAACCTAGTACTTGAGTAAGGGGTCAGGGGAAAAGAATCCCCTTTACCCAGCAGTTGATACTGTCTTTTATAGGGGTATACATGTGTAGATACATGAGGAGGAAGTGTAACTAACTACAATGAGAATATATGTGCTTGTGGGTCCTACTGTACAATGATCTGATGCAATCAGCAATGTAGTAGTAATAAAATACAAACTAGTAAATCAAATCCTTACAAATAGTAGGTAGGGAAGGAGAGTACACACAGGGTCAGAGAGAGGATTGTACCTTAGGAGTGATCTGACATAGACATTGTTGTAAGCATGCTTGTATGTGCTCATCAATTGTTGCTTGTACTACAGAGTAGGAAGAAGAATGTAAATACATAGAATTATTAAAGAAGTTGTTTAGTATTGGTCAACAATACAGAAGCACAAATGTGAATACAAAAAGGAAGAGGAATGTGAAAAAAAGGAGGACAATGAAGGAGAGGCAGAGTAAGAGGCAGAGTAAGGAGTAGAAGGGATGGAAGGGAGACAAAAAGTTGGGAGGAGAGGGATGAGCACCTATTGTACAGGTTATTATAAAGTGAATCAGTTGCTTGCATTTAATGTTGTTAAGACTGAGAGGGTACAGTGTAATCAGCTGTGCAGAATCTGGGACTCAGTACAGGCATTACAACAGTTGATTGGAGAGACAAGTGTAGCAATGTTTATTGTCAACATTGTTAAAGGTAGGGTGACAGCTAGTAGGACACATGTAAGAGGAGAAAGACTAGAGACTTAGAGAGAACAAAAGTAACAACATAGTAGTACAGTAGAGAGTTAGACTTAGAGAGGTGGTGGAGGTTGAAGAGAAAGAGTAGTACACATAAGTGTGTCATTATATGCTCTCAATCTTCAGCTGTTGATTACATAAGCAAGTTAGGTATCAGTTGCCCCCAAGATAATCTAAGTATAATGTACATATTATATACTTATAGTATACTTTTATTAAGATAATAGGGTATAATAAGTGCTCTTACACTATTATATACATTAATATACCTTTTGTATAAATTATAAGATAACAATAGTTATTATTACATTATTATATTATAAATATAACTCTTTTTTTAAGATTATAATTTAAATATAATACAAGTACAGTGAAACCTGTCAATAAGCATACTTGTAGTTTAGCATTTCCTCTCAATAAGTATGAAAAATTTGATCCACCAAGTTGGTAGGCAGGAAAATAGAGGTATATTAAGTATAAAGGGCATTAAGCATTAAGCATTAAGGTGTGAGATCGAGAATATGCTTAATTAAAGGAAATTTTGGGTCATGTGACAGTACAGATCTTGACCCAGAGAGAGCCACTTTTTGTACAGGCCACCTCCATTTTGTAAAATAAATGCATAATGTAATGAAAACCACTATTAAAACTTATTGATCATTATGTCTGAGGAGCTTGGATGTGCACAGAACCCAGATGGAACACTCAAGGATGCTAGTGAAATTGTTTTCACTTATTCTAGAGAAGCTTCCCCTGTCAATCTCTCAGCTCTGCTTCCAGATATCCATGCTTCCACTGGTATTCATCCACAAACAAGTACAGTCAATGATACATCTCTACCAAAGGATCCTGCCCATGGCAAAGCACCAAAGTTGAAGCATCAAAAGCTATGCAGAGGCTGTCCAATTGCTTTCAAAGCTCAATGTGCTCTTTCAGAGTAAGATTGGTGCTGAGTTTACTGAGGCTAGAGCACTTTTTCCAAAGCTTACAAGAAACCTATGCAAGAAAATAAATAGTTCTCTTGAACAGACTGATATTTGGTCGTTTTTAAGTAGACAATGTATTATTGAGTTATGTACTACAAATAAGGAAATTTTATTACTTTACTTAAGCTACT